GGTCATTATCTCCTGAGGGGTCCCAGACTGCGAGAGGGCACAGGCCGGGCTGGGGGACCCCCCTCCCCCCTGAGTGCACAAATTTTTGTGCACCGAGCCTCTAGTTTTCTTTATAAAAGTAATTCTATAGACTATGCCTTTATTATGACAAAAGGAACTTTCAAATCATATATTTTAAAAATTTAGCTTTATTTTTGAAAGTATTACAGATGTCACATTTTCCTCCCATTGATCTCTTCCACCCCTCTTCTATCCCCCTGCCTAGGCCTTTACTGCTCCATTGTCTGTTCTTGTGTTATGCATATATGTATATAAATTATTTGGCTAATCTCTTCTCACTTGCTCCCTCTGAAATACCTCAGTCAGTTGTATGCTTCTATGTCTCTGGATCTATTTTTTTTCTCATCAGTTTATTTTGTTTATTATATTCCACATATAAGTGAGATCATGTGATACTTGTAGTTCTCTGACTGGCTTATTTCACTTAGCATAATACTCTCCAGATCCCTCCATGATGTATAAAATGATAAGAGATCCTTCTTTTTTTTACAGCTGCATGGTATTTCATTATGTAAATGTACCACAGTTTTTTATATATATATATATATATTCATTTACTGATGGGACCTTGGGCTATTTCCAGATCTCAGGTATTATAAATAATACTTCTATCGATATAGGGGTTTATATATTTTTTCTGGTTGGTGTTTCAGGTTCTTAGTATATATTCCTAGAAGTGGGATCACTGGGTCAAATGGCAGTTCCATTTTTAATTTTTTTTTTAGGAAACTCCACACTCTTTTCCATAGTGGTTGTACCACAACTCATATTTTATTAAATTACCTTTTTTATTAAATTGATTGGGGTGACATTGGTCAGCATGAACATATAGGTTTTGGGTCTGGGTTCCTATGTTAAAAGATCTGTACATTACACTGTGTGCCCACCACCCAAACTCAAATCTTCTCCTGTCACCTTATATTAGGAACCTTCCTACTCCCTTCCCTCTGGCAACCACCACCCTGCTGTTTGTGTTAGTTTCAGTTTTATATCCCACATATGAATGAAATCTTATGGTTCTTAGCTTTATCTGACTGACTTATTTCAGTTAGCATAATATTGTCAAGGTCCATCGATGTTGTTGCAAATGGCACTATTTCACCCTTTTTTATGGCTGAGTAGTATTCCATTGTGTATATGTACCACTTCTTTATCCAGTTCTCTGTCATGGGACACTTTGGTTGTTTCTATGTCTTGGCCACAGTGAATAATGCTGCAGTGAAAATAGGGATCCATATATCTTTGAGAATACATGATTCTGAGTTTTTCAATTATATACCCAGGAGTGGGTTTGTTGGGTCATATGATAGCTCTATTCATAATTCTTTGAGGATTCACCAGACTGCTTTCCATAGTGGTTGTACCAGTCTACATTTCCACCAGTACTGAATGATGGTTCCCCTTTTTCCACAACCTCTCCAACACCTGTTACTGCTTGTCTTGTAGATAATGGCCACTCTAACAGGTGTAAGGTGGTATCTCATTGCAGTTTTTATTTGTATTTACCTAATGGCCAGTGAGGTTGAACATCTTTTCATATATCCATTGGCTGTATGTCTTCTTGGGAGAGGTATATTTTCAGGTCCTCTGCCTATGTTTTGATTTAATTGTTTATTTGTTTGGTGTTGAGTTCTATGAGTTCCTTATATATTTTGGAAATTAAACCTTTGTCGGAGCTACTGTTTGCAAATATCATTTCCCATTTGGTTGACTGCCTCTTTGTTTTGTTGTTATTTTATTCTGCTGTACAGAAGTTTTTTAGTTTGATATAGTCCCATTCATTTATTTATTTTTATTTTTTAATATATTTTATTGATTTTTTTACAGAGAGGAAGGGAGAGAGATAAAGAGTTAGAAACATTGATCAGCTGCCTCCTGCACACTCCTTACTGGGGATGTGCCTGCAACCAAGGTACATGCCCTTGACCAGAATCAAACCTGGGACCCTTGAGTCCGCAGGCTGACGCTCTACCCACCGAGCCAAATCGGTCAGGGCCCATTCATTTATTTTTGCCTTTGGGGTCAAGTTCATAAAATGTTCCCTACGACCCAGGTCCATAAGTTTGGTGCCTATATTTTCTTATCTGTAACTTATTATTTTGAATCTTATAGTTATATATTTGATCCATTTTAATTAATTTTTGTACATGGGGACAAGCTGTAATCCAGTTCCATTCATTTGCATGTGGCTTCCCAGCACCATTTATTGAAGAGACTATTTTTACTCCATTGTGTGTTTCTGGCTCCTTTGTTGAAAATTATCTCTCTATATATATCTATGTGGCTTTATAGCTTGACTCTCTCAATTCTATTTCATTTATCTATGTGTCTGTTTCTCTGCCAATACCATGCTGTTTTGATTATCATAGCTCTGTAGTATAATTTGAAGTCAGGTAGCGAGATACTGCCTTTGTTATTTTTCTCAGTATTGCTTTGGCTATTTGGGGTCTTTTGTGGGTCCATACAAATCTGACTATTTCATGCTCTTTTTCTTTAAAAAAATTACATTGGGATTTTGATGAGGATTGCCTTAAATCTATATATTGCTTTGGATAATATGGCCATTTTAACTATGTTGATTCTTCTAATCCATGAACATGGAATATTTTTCCATTTTGTTCTGTCTTGTTCAATCTTTTTAAATAATGCTTTGCAATTTTCAGTATATAGATCTTTCATGTTCTTTGTTAAATTTATTCCTAGGTAATTTATTCTTTTGGTTGCAATTGCAAAGGGAATTGTTTTCATTTCTTTTTCTGAAGTTTTGTTTTTCGTATACAATAGATTTTTGCACATTGATTTTGTATCCTCCAAATTGACTGTATTTGTTTATTGTTTCTAAAAGTTTTTTTTTTAGTGGAGTCTAGGGTTTTCTACATACAGAATCATGTTGTCTGCAAAAAGTGACAGTCTTACTTCCTCCTTCCCTATTTGGGTGCCTTTTATTGATTTATCTTGCCTTATTGCTCTGGCTAGGACTTCCAGCATTATCTATCCTATATAATGAAAGGCTAATATACAAATTGACTGAACAACAGAATGACCCGTCACTATGATGTGCACCGACCACCAAGGGGCAGATGATCAACACAGGAGCTGCCCCCTGGTGGTCAGAGTGCTCCCACAGGGGGAGTACCACTCAGCCAGAAGCCGAGCTCACAGGCTGGCGAGCACAGGGTAGTGGCGGGAGCCCCTCCCACCTCCGCGACAGCATTAAGGATGTCTGACTGATGGCTTAGTCCCACTCTCTGATGGCTCTCCAGACTGTGAGAAGGCACAAGCCGGGCTGAGGGACCCCCCCAAGTGCATAAATTTCATGCACTGGGCTAATATGCTAAGTGTCCCAATGCCCATCCGAATGGTCACTATGATGCACACTGACCACCAGGAGGAAGACGCTCAACACAGGATCTGCCATGATGTGCACTGACCATTTACAGACAAATGGCAGTGGAGACCTGGCACCGACAAAGCAACACTCAGCTTCCCCCAAATGGGACACAGGCCACCCCACCACCCTGGAAAAATATCCCACCAAATTTCAGCCAATGCTGCCATGGTGCAAAATGCAGCCCACAGCCCAGCCCAGCTCAGAAACATTGGCTGTGGGTGCCGGGTAATGATGTCACATAGAAATGCTTGGCTTCTTCTCCCTAGCAACTAGCCTCTTTGGAGTTTCTTCAACCCAGGAACATGACTTGCTTTATAGCCAGGTGCAAACATTTTACCCTTTAACCAAATGTTTATGAAGCGTTTTCCTATACCTCATCTCATTTGATCCTCACAGAAGTCCTGGAGTAGATAGATAGGAGACTCGGTAAAATCCTATTTTCTTTTCATTAGCAGGAAAACGGAGATTTAGAAAGTTTAGAAACTTGACCCAACTGAAAAGAAGTAAGAAATGGTGGAACTTGAAAATGACTTCAGGTTTCAGAATATAGTCAAACACTGCTGCAGTTAAATATTTTACCCTTTGTTCTTCCTGTATGATCTACAATAATAATCTGCTTCATGATATTTACTGATGTGTTACTGACAATTACTTAAAAGAGAAGTTGGGGTGCTTCACTGGGCTGGAAAAGGTTTAGCTAAATCAGAAAGCGGGTCTAATTAAACAAGTTTATTCTATATCTATAAAAGGCTAAGTTGACTCTCACATGCCTCATGGCATCATATAAAGCTCTCGCTGGTGCCAATCTCACGCGTGTGTTTCCATCTGTCATTGTCAATTGTGAAGTTGACACTTCTATTATAGAGAAAGGGAAAATAGCGATATTAAAATATTCCTTCTAATTTCCTTTCAGTGTGCACAAATCCATGCACTGGGCCACAAGTGTTAAATAAAAGTGGTGAGAGTTAACATCCTTGTCTTGTTCCTGATCTTAGAGGAAAAACTTTCAGGTTTTTGCCTTTGACTATGATATTAGATGAGGGTTTATCATATATGGCCTTTATTATGTTGAAGTACTTTCCTTCTATTCCTAGTTTACTTAGTGTTTTAATCATGAACAGATGTTGTATCTTATCGAATCTACAATAATAAAAGGAAAACATGCAAATTGACCATCCCTCCACTACGCCCACCAGCCAATCAGGGCGAGTATGCAAAATAACCCAACAAAGATGTCTGTGGCCATGTCGCTGGAGCAAGCAGGAGGCTTGGGTTGCCCCCGGTGATGGAGGAAGCCAAGCTTCCAGCCCTCCCTGGCCTCCGCTCAAGGAGGGGATGGGGGGCCTGGGTCACCGGGGGGAGTGGCCAGCCTGAAAATGGCCCTCAGCCCCTCACCCAGGCTGGTCAGGCACCCCAGTGGGACCCTCACCCTGAAGGGGGTGTTGCCAGCCTGAAAATGGCCCTTAGCCCCTTACCCAGGTTGGCCACACCCTCATGGAGTAAGAATCCCTGCTAGGGGGCGTGGCCAGCCTGAAAACAGCCCTCATCCCCTCACCCAGTCTGGCCAGGCACCCCAGCAGGGACTCCCACCCTGAAGGGGGTATGGTCAGCCTGAAAACAGCCCTCAGCCCCTCATTCAAGCTGGTA